ACAAAATCAATAAAAAAATAAAAAAATGAACAATCCACCATAATTACCACCAAAAGATGAAAAACAAGTGTAGTGAGGAAAAAAAAGGTAAGTTTCACATTCATGGTGGAAACAAAATAAAAAAATTACTTTTAAAAAATATTTAAAAGAATGTTTATTTATGTAATCTTACTTAGGGGTATTTACGTAGATAAAACATATATTTAAAATTGTGGTGTAGTAAACAAATTTTGTAGTAGTAATATAATTACCCTTTTCTTTTTTCTTTGGAAAATGCCATTTGTACCGGGAATATTTGCCACGAAATACTTACAGGGTTGACTTGGCAAACTGTGATTGCCACGGAATATTTGCATACCTCACTTTATTTCATCTCCTTCTAATTTCTACGTTTCTGATAGTCGCATTTTGTGCATTATTTTGATGCGTATATCTTAGTTTCGATAAGTATAAACTCTATCCAATATTTTGCACAAATAAGTCACGATTTTATCTCATTTTCGTGCATGCTCTTTTGATTAACAAGAATATAATTATGCACCATTTATCCAACAGAGAATTCTGCCACGTGCGAGATGCATCACTCATGGAGGCTGCTCCGATATGCAAATCGTAACTGGAAATTCAGATGCCACAATTAACAAGGATTTTATATATATATATATTTTTTTAATACAGGTTATGTGATCTCAGCCTTATGTAGAAAAAGAAAATGTATGTTTGAAAAGAAAATCTTGTGATTTTAAGGAGAGTGGGGTAACCTTCTCGAGAGTTTTCGTGAAAAATGGGGCTGAATTGGTGGGATGTTTAGTGGGAGGAAATTAGGCAGAATTGTCAGCAAAATGGTACGTCTTTGTGGAGGCATGGGTCCATAGATGATAGCAAAATTTCTTCAACGAATGAAGATAGGTCTGCTAGAATATGGACATGGTGATAATGGTTGACCACAAACTAGTCCGGTCTTAATTAATGAATTCGCAAGTGGTGAGATTTTTTCCTACCTAATTTAGAGAAACATTATCGGAACACGTTTTTCCACTATTCTAATTTGATTTCTCATTATTAGAAATGCGAAGGGCATCTTGGTGGACAACGAAAGAATAAAATTTTATAATCGATGTCAACGAAAGAATTTAAGCAAAAATCTTAAGAGCACAATTTTTGGAATCCATCAAATTATGAAGAAATAAACTCACAAAATTTTATTGATGTAAGATGATGAAAAAATAATGAATTAAATCCTTATTTATAAGGATATACATGAAAATCTAGTTTAAACAAAATAAATTAAACGACAAAAATAACACTAAAACTTTAAATACAATTTTCGAGTCCTAAACGAACTCGGATAGTTAATCCATTGTATGTTATAGAAAAGCGTTGAGTTTTACTCGTCTCATTGTCCTCTTTCCGAAATGGTATTATGGATCTAAACTGGAGCTCAACTGCTACACCTGCACTATTACCTTTTTTTTCCTTTTCAATCCATTCAACCATTTG